CCCCCCTCTCCCTCTCTTTCTCTGCGTGCGCCCGTTCCTCTTCCCATTTCTCTCATCTTTACCCACACTACACGCCCAATATTCGCCCGGAGGGGGTTATAAGCGACTTGGACCGCCAATTCGCAGATTTTCCTGTATCTATACCGAATACGAGACATCCCTCTCAGCAGTCGGAAAGCCCAATCTGAATACCGATAAGACGGATCGTCCGTTGATCGCGAAGTAATGACCGGCACTGATTTCTCGCTTCTATCTATTTCTTCCCTTTTACGTGCACGAAGATATTTCTCACGAGCACCTTCGCACACGCGGAAAATACTACTATTGGTAGTGTGATGATGCTTAAGCTTCGAAACCATCGTCTTCGCGCGAGTTTAAGACGATGGAATAGAAAATGTACAGAATAGCATAATCCTTTTCCGAGAGCTGTTATATGTATTAGGAATCATTAAATGGCGAGGAAGTCAAGTAAGATGCAATTAAGCGAAACTTTACCAATTAGCAAATAATATCTGTTTACCAGGACAATATAATACAATAATGTGAAATTAGGAGTTTAAATTGTAAACATTGAATTGAATTATGCATGTAAAATCAATTTTTACAATTTGTATAGATTAATATTTTTTTATACGTACAAAACATTGATCCAGAATTAGCAAATAATAAAGTTGTCGTTTATATGAGATAGGTATATTTAAAATCAATTCTTTCTCTTGAAGGAAAATTGTTAAAAATTATTTTATGTCACAATTTCCCACTAAATTAAAATAATGTTGATAATCTGTTTATGCCTCTAAAGATTAATTCGCAAAAAACCCTTTATTTTCAAAGGCTTATATAGTTTCAAAATTGAAGCTAAAAATTCACTTCTTTTACTTCATCAAGTTTAAAATACGACACTTGCTTAGTTTAATTATTATATGTTTATTTGGATTGTTGAAGAAAAATCACTTAAGCGAAATTGAGTTAGTTTACGTTTATTTAAGGAAAAACGGATATGTACATTTATGGTTTAATGTTACTAAGGAAACCCATTTCGTATCAGATTAACATCGCGATATCACGGTAATACTTGGTAATAACCGTAATATTCGCCTCGTCGCTCGCTGATTGCGAAGTAATGACCGTCCCCGATTTTCTCTTCGTGCTTCTCACGTACACGTCCCGTACAACCGCCGAATTCTCCCCGACCGCTGTGCTTACCGATTACGAGGAAAGAGGAAAGGGCCATTATCACGTAGTCGACGAATTCGAGTTTGAAGCGTTCCTACGTGGAATTTAAGAGAAGCACCCGTGTGACACCTCGAAAGCACGTGCCCTATCTACCCAAACGCTGTTCCGCGTTAAAAGCGGCGACCTTGAAGTCGCCGCTCGGTAAAAGGGTCGGAAATGCTCACGTGCCGATCGCGAACCTCCTTAAGAATTCGACGTCGGAGAAGTTTGCGGAAGCTATATCGAACCGCAAGATTTCCGGAATTAACCCCTTTCACAACGGAACACGTACTCATGAAGTAGAAGTTCCTGCGGAATTTTATTATCAGTTGTTTTAAAACTTACTTCAAAATCCGTTCACGAGATATCTTGCACAGGACATGACTTTGCTTTATCAGTGAAATAAACGACAATTAATGTCAAATTAAAAAAATATATTGTTTAATAAATTTGATTTTCCACAGCAAGCATCGTAACAGAAATAAGAAAAAGTCACAATTAATATAAGCTTTTTACAAATAAAAAAACATTATTATAATTAGTTGAATCTTATATTAATAATAAGTAAATCGTTGACCGATCAGTGATTCTCACAAGTAAATACAGATATGTCATTTACAGTAAGACTGGTTTTTTATACCTGTTAATATTTACGTGAATTTAAATACTTTTTTCCACTTAAACTGCGCGCCGATTATTTGTTGATCTTGAAACATAATTATTCGTTGGAAATAAATTCAACATACTTAAATCGATAATCGATTTAACTTTTTAATGCTAATAAGTATGCTAATAAGCACGTGCACCCTTGGCTGGAGTTTTTTGCACTAAATTCTTTACAGTGATTGCAAAAGTTAAATTGATTATCGACCTAAATATATTGAATTTACTGTTCTAACAAATAACTATGTTCCAAGGCTGTCAAATAACTAGCGCGCAATTTAAGTGGAAAAAGTATATAAATTCACACAAATATTTATAGTTTAATTATAAGTTACAAGAAATACTAGCCCGACTGTAGATGGTATATCTTTATTCATTTGTGATAATCTTATATTATAATATAGTATCTCTCTTTTCTTTAGTAAATTAAGCTATTCGAGAAAATGTTAATAAACCTCCCTTTCGGTAAATTGTTCCGTACGCCATCATTTAATATATTAAATTCATATATAGTTTACATTTGTAGATCTGTGTTTGCGGAGGGTAGAAAGATTTCCGATCGATCCATGAGTCGCGATGTAAAATCCTAAATGCTTAATGCGGCGTGCGTGGCATACGTGATGATCATGGATACGCAAACGTGCAACATTTATTACACCGCTGTATTGAAAAGTGTATCCCGCCGGATATTCAGTAGTTTATCAGCGAGTTCAGTGAAGCATTTTGACGATCAAATTTATTCCTTCCAATCGGATGCACAACAGATATGATGGATAGTGGATTAAAGGATTTTTGCGCATGTTGTATGGGATTAAGAGGATAGCAGACGAAAGGATTATTGTTTTATAATCCCAGTGCCCTGAATTTCCTTGGATCTCTGCCGCGGAGTTTGATTGCGCTTAGTATTATCTATATCCATGAAAAATACAATACACGAAAAAAATCACTGTTGTCGATCTGTCACAATTAATAGAATTAATAAAATATAAAATGTAAAATAATATACTGTAAAGATAGCAATTAATTAATTATGAATTCTTATAAAAAGAGGCGATATACCTAAATCATTGCAAACATATCAAAACGTTTAACAACTTATTTTGTAATTATTTTGTTATTAATTATGTATATAAAATACAAATTTAATATTAAATAATATTTTAAAGGAATAATTAAACAATCTTATAACCACAGAAATATAGCTAAAAATTAAAAGTAATTAGTATTAAAAATAATAATTACATATAGCATTTTAAATTTACAACTTATTTAGAACTATTACTTTTGTAAGTAATGAATTAATTCATTTTTTTTACATTGTCCAACTGTCAAATTGAAACTGCAATTTGTGCAGAATAGATACACGTATCAAAATGCTACTGTAACATCGCTCAAACCAATTTGCGATATAAATGCCAATACGCAATCTCATGTAAAAAAGAATAACGTATATCGACAATTACCAGGAGCTGTAGGTCGGACAGTTAGGAGGTATTTCGAAATAAACGGCACGTGCCTGATGCGTTACGGAAATATCATAGCCTTTCCCCCTTGCACAAACGACATCCAGTTTCCTACCAGGTGGTCTCCCCCTCCAACACTCTTTTCCTCGCTCAGTCTTTGTCATATATTGCTTTACGCCATGCGGAACATCGCATGCGGATGCCATATAAAAACGAAGGCAAACCGGCCACGTGACACCGTGGATAATAATAACGTTACGATACCCTATTTAGACTTTCGATGGTTCCCCCCAAAAGAGTCGCTCGATCTACCAACTGCTTTCGTATGCTATCCTGATCGCAGCGTCCCTTTCATCCGTTTAAAGGGCGCGGACGTCGGGACGTCTAGTTTTACCCTCACCCTAAGCGTCAACAAAGGGTTGTTGCGTCGACGCGCATGAGATAGAGGTGTGATCGTGTGATGTTGATGAACGTTCGAAGAAGTCATTTAAATTCACGTATTGAACGTGTCGATTTTACACAATGGTGCATTAACTTCTCTTCTTTTTAATTAAAAATGTAAACTTTTAATTTAAATAAATCTGGTAATATTTATTTTTTGCCTATAGCGTTCTATAACCGTAAAATGTTTCAATATTTTTAGATAAATGATTGATTAACTAAAGACTCTCGATATTAAAATTAATGAGTAACAAGGGAAAGTGGGGCTTTGAGAGTCAAATGTGATTAATTATGCGTAAGTTAATGTGATGTAACATTTAATTAATAATTTAATACAAATTATAAATCGTCTTATAATTCTTATTAAATTATTAATTAAATGTTACCTAACGTTATTATTATTTTATTCATTTCTTAATCCGTGCCTTGCGGCTTTGGATATGACTTCCAGTTTATATATCTGATGTGTTTTGTACATTTCTTATAGTTATATAAAAGTGTGTATGAGTGCTCTCAGTTATTACATTTTAGTTATTACTTAATAATTAATTTAAACTAAGTGTTACCTAACGTTAACTCATGCACCAGCTAACGCACATGCGTTTCTTGCGTTTCACATGCGTGGACTTTCAAAGCCTACTTTTCTTTGTGTTACTCGTTAATTTTAACATTTTCTATTTCTATAATTAAATTGTTTAATATAAATGTAAAAATAATATTAATAATATATTTATTTATATTTTTAAAAAATTACCTGTATTTATATAAACAATTCTCTTTAATTATATTACTAACAATAAGTACATCTATCTATAAAGTTATATAATTAATGAAGAGAGAATGTGTCAAATTGCGAAGAAACTTAAAATTTATGTATATAAACGATATATATCCGCCGATTCTATAGACAGTGTAGACCAAATATATCATAGTATTAATCTATGCTGATGAACACCGAGGAAAAAGGATGAGCTGCGAAAAGAGAACAGATGGAAGGACGGAGTTTTAACACTTATTTAAGCAAAAATTTAAATAAAGGCTTAATCCGACTTCAAGTTCATTAAATATGCAACCAGTATCATTGGGGCTCGCTTGATAAATTTACATGTAATGGATCTCTTCATTCCAGGTTCTCGGATTCAAGGACACATATATATGGCTTAAGGATGATAATCCGAGCCAAAAGAAAAGGGGAAATATTCGCTTGACGAAGGCTCTTAATGCAAACTCTAAGGTAACACTTTTACACTTTATTTTATGATTTCAAATAACGTTCTATAGAGAAGATTCTGTAACGGAGCTTTGTAAAAAATTAATAATTTCTATAAATAATTTTCTTAAGTTAAGATATTAATAATATATCTGCATATAAATAAAAATAATATTAGTAATAAGGTTTGCAACAACAAATACAGTTGTATAAATGCAAAATTATAAGAAATAGAGGCAATCTTCTTAACATAATTTGCGTTTTATCGAGGAAAGATCATCTGGGCGGATCAGCAGAAAACCGTAAAACGACTTAAACGCGATTATGTCTCATTAGCCGATTTGGAGTCTGAAAAACCATTGACGCGAGAAAAACGTGTACAACTAAACATATACGGAGATGCATCAAATGCCATTAATAGCGAGAATCATGTTGCTGATGTCCGCAAACGGATATTCAACGATGAACTTTGGGATCAGGAATGGTATCTGGTAATAATATTTTATAACATTTATGCAGTTTTTTGTAATATTTCAGTAAATAATACTCTGGTACTAGATTATGCAATGACATCTGTGTATAATATTTAAAATTCTGGAATTATATTAATGATAAAAAAGTAATACATGGGCAATATATGTACCTTTTATACATTAATTGAAGATTTGTTAAAATTATTTTCATCTTAAATCTTTTTTGTTTATTTTTAACGAATTCTCTTTATCAACCGCCGTAGCAAGATACGAGGACGAATAAAGCTTTGCCGAAGCTCGACTTAAACGTTCTGCCTCTCTATCGACTGGGGATAACTGGTCGGGGAGTGAAGATTGCTGTTCTCGACGATGGTTTAGAGTACACTCATGATGACCTGCGGAACAATTATGTATGTAACAGTTACTTAAAACTTTCGTGCTTGCTTCATAGATGACGAAACAAGTAACTTAATTTATTTTAAACAAAAAAAATTATTTTGTTTTTACATTTATGTTATACGTATTTTATTATAAGCTATCATTATATTTAGATATTCAGATATATTATATGCAAATCATACCCATATTATATCTAAAATTAAATGTTATATCTTTATATAAATTGATATTATATGTCTTTACAATTAATTTAACATTTAAAGTAAAATATAAAGAATTATTTTTGACAAATAACGAGAAAATGGTATTACTATAATATGTATTACATTAATTCTATCTATAATTATAACATTTAAAATTAGGATGCGGCTATTAGTTATGACATAAATGAAGGCGATGATGATCCTTTTCCAAGATACGATGTGTCAGGTAATTTCTATTTATTAAATTTTTCTATAAATATATAATACACTGTATATAATATATAGTTATAAAGTTACATTAATAAAATAATATTTTTGTTGAAGTATATATTTTGCATGCTTGTTTAAACTAAATTTAAAATGTTTATGTAATTTAAATCACGAAAGCGTAATAGCTCGCTTGAAATAGCTTATGAAACATCAAGTAAAATGCATTTAGAGCATTTAGTAATGCACTTAAATCACTATAGGTACATAAACCAGTTGGTAGCAAAATTAGTTGAAAACTCGCTTGCAGAAAACTTTGCTATTTTAAAGCTTTACAAATTTAGCGCTATTCGCATAAACTAGACTATTTATTTTTCCAATTTTAACCTATGTGTATAGAGTTATTACCTCCAATTGCTAATTTAACATTGGTTTTGTTTTTATATTTGAAATTATTTATGTCTTGATATATCTGTCGAAAATCAGATTATTATTTATATAATAATTAATATTCTTTTATATTAAATCTGGCTAGAGTTGACCAGCAGAATAAATATAAAAGAAATTTAAATGACTAATTTAAAAGTATAAAAGTTTTTTTTAACAGAAAAGTTTGTCATATTGCTTATAAAATATATAATTCAATTCTTATAGTATATACAATATCTGTGTATGTGTATATAGGAGAGACCGGGGCAAACTTGACACTAGGCTTTTCATGCCAATTTAAATCTATCGTAGAAACTTGCCTTTTCTACTGTAAATGCGTCTTTATGTACTAATATTATCAACTTTTGGTGAATTCTGAGTTCTGGTGTAATTTTTAGCGCGACATAAGCGTTTTTGATGGTGAAAAGTAATTTTTCTGATCTCTCGAAAATTTCTACTCTTCTACTCCCTTGCATTACATATAATATTACATAATAATACATATATATATATTTTTTTTAATGTTATACGGATATACATGATATGTATAATAATAAAACAAAAATGTGAAAATATTATCCACAAAATGTATAATATTATTTTGTAAATTCAATTTTAATTATTAAAAATAATTTACGAAAATACTATATATTTCAAAGAAATAGTTTGTATTTTTTATATAGAATTGTTATATTTTTACGTAATATTATTTATCACGTATAGTATTATCATATTTTTATAAATGTTAAAACACAAGATGGGGGAAGGAAGTATTTGTAACTCGGTCATTCGAATAATGTAGTAACGACGTGAAAGATCAGTCAATATGGTCTAATAAATAATTCACTCGCTGATAAAAGTGTTAACGTTTGACTATAATTAACGTGTCAATATTAATGAAATTCGCGTGAAATCGGATCGAATATGGTTAGTCGCTTCGTTCGCAAATCAATCCATTCACAGATTTACAATCTAATTATGTATTAAATGTAGCTCTACATCAGGGTATAATCATTTATGCAAAACGCAAGCGATCTAACTTCGATTGCTAAACATTAAACAAAATAAACGTTGATAATAAGTTACTTAACCAGCGTTATTTAAAAAATATTTTTCATCAAATTCTTTTCTCTCTAGAGAACAATCTCTATATTTCTAAAAACAATTTTTATAGATACAAGGGAACACAATAGGTTTAGGATACTCTGCAGACTTCACTTGTAATAAAATACGTGTGGAAAATATTTTATTTTATTTTTTTTTTACATAACTTACGTCCGAGGCATAATGCTTGCATTTTTATCAATGAATGTTATATCGTCCGCGTGAAATTACGTACGTTGTATTCTGAATTTCAAAGTCGATCGAGTAATGCGGTATATTACAGAGTGAAATTTTAAGACCTCCCACGTAGATGTTCCTATTATTTGATTCCTCGCCTCGTGCACGACGTACTTTGGCCGGCATCGCCGACCCCGATTGAACATTACTGTTTCACGATCGTATTACAAATTCAACTACTCCTCAGGGATGAACGGTCACGGCACCAGATGTGCTGGCGAAATAGCGATGGAGGCCAACAACCAAAAGTGTGGCGTCGGTGTCGCCTTCGAGGCTTCCGTCGGTGGCATCAAGCTCCTCGATGGCCTGGTGAACGACCGTGTGGAAGGTGAAGCTCTGGGATTCAAATCGGGACTTATTGATATCTACACAGCTTCATGGGGACCGGCGGACGATGGAAAAAGTTTAGAGGCACCTGGTAGACTCGCTGTCGAAGCGCTCGAACGTGGCGTAACAGAAGTCAGTTTGCCACCAAATTATCTACTAATATATATAATAAACAATATCTGTAAAATTAAAATATATTTGTCTTTAATAGAAGAAAGTTTATAACTGCAGTAATTTAGATTGAGGTTTAGGATTGAAACAAATAATAGATTATCCTAAAGGCAAAACTATACTTTGCCATGATCCTATTATTATCGATAACTTTTAAAAATGCGGCGAAATTTTTGCGATAATTACATATATATATATATATATATATATATATATATATATATATATATATATTTCAGTTTTTATCAAATATAATATTTATTTTCTGTTTCTGGTAACATTTCTGAAAAGAAAGAGAGAAGGTTATGAGCTTTGTACTCCAAAAGTCTCTTTAATAGGATTACGAATGGGTTGACTTTACGTCAGAGTGAAACAGATTTTCTGGTCATTTAACGTTTAAACAAGCTTTTAACACCGACTAAGCTTAACTCGGTGTAGTTAAACTTTAATCGCGTTTTCCACGGTGATACATTACTTGTTGATTATTTTTTCAAACAGTAAAAAAATCTAAACTGTTTTTCTTCTCCGCTTTTTTACTTGTTACAAACTTATCCCTCTACTGGCCGTAATTTTTTACAGTACTTAGTTACCTGCGGACTGCGTACTCTACGTGAATGTCCGGTAAAGTAAATTATGTCTCGCGATAATTAAGTTTATTTTTTAATTAATAAATTCCTGTAGAAATTATTAACTCAGAAATATTTATTAACTCATTTAACACTCGAAAGTTTGACTGAAATTAAAGATGATTAGGAAGGTGTGACGAAGAAAGATTTGAGAATAATTTAATCTCATAAATGTATAATATGAGACTCGAAAGTTATTGCGTGTCCCAACTTTTATCGAAGATTTTGTTACCTTAGTATAAATCCGTTTTGGTTCCAAAAATGTGTCAGCTTTAATATTATCGGCGCAGACATTAATTCCGAAGCTCACAAAGAGACGCTAGCAAGACACTTGCGTTTATAAAGTGTTCTCTTCTCATTTCTTTTTGAGAATTAAATATGGACGAAAAGAGTGTAACAACGACTAGAGAGAAAGGCTCGATTTACTTGTGCATATTTTATAGCGACATCTTTTATGCAACAGCATCTTTCTTTCTGCGAAACTATAGCATATTTTCTAAATGACGCAGCAATTTTTGAATATATAATAATTTTCTCTTTTATTTATCTTTTAGTTTGTTGGTGAATTATTATATGCCCGAGTAAATTATTTTTACAATTCGATATTTCGACGTAACATGAAAATTTTATTACTTCGTAATTTAATTTTGCTTTGACATCGCTTGTGGAAATATTAATACCTGAATATTTGACAGGGTCGTAAAGGCAAAGGTAACATTTATGTATGGGCTTCTGGGAACGGTGGCTCTAAATCGGATGACTGCGGATGTGACGGATACGTTGGGAGCATATACACCGTGGCTGTCGGATCAGCCAGTCAAACCGGAAGATTTCCTTGGTATGGGGAAAGATGTCCTGCTACTCTCGCTACGACGTACAGCAGCGGCGCGTATCATGATCAGATGATAGTAAGTATTTCCCTCGGTGTGTTAAGCCCCTTGCACAATAGGCGATAACGATAGCGATAGCGACAGCGACAGCGACAAAGGTGTAGCTACAGCTTTGTCGGCACCTTTGTCGCTATCGCTATCGTTATCGCTATCGCCTATTGTGCAAAGAGCTTTAGTTGAATTAAAAAAAGATAGCTGATAATTCGTCAATTTCAATTTGCTTTATTAATAAAAACATATAAAACATTTGCAAGGCGCGCAATATCTTAATCACACATGTATGTTTTTTCTTAATTTTCTCTTTACGTATTTGCAAAGTAAGGAAAGTATATTATTCTTATCTAAAACAAGAACTGTTGCTGTAATCATAAATATACCAGAATTAAAATGTCATATGCTTTTACTGATGGTATAGTAATTTCTGATTCAGCGATTTTCTCAATTACCTCAATTCGAATTTTTAACATCTCCTTTGGAATCGAACGAAAAGATAAATATCTGATAATGAAAGGAAAGATTTATATTACGAAAAGCTCGAATAATTTAATAACTTTCCTTTGCATTGCGTAGGCAACAACGGATCTACGAAACACCTGCACGACTAGGCACACGGGTACTTCAGCTTCCGCCCCATTAGCCGCCGGAATATTGGCTCTCGCGCTGCAAGTAAAGTACGAACATATCCCAGCAATCTCCCATTGAAACTTTTCTTTGAAACCCGGAAGCGCTAACTTGATTATAAGTACTCAACTACCTACATATTAATTTTAGTTGCGCCGTCAATAAAAAGGAATACTTCTTTAATCCAAACTTTCTTCTCTCGTATTCATGATATTCGCTCTATTAACACACATTTCGCCATTAACTCCGAACTTTAGGAACTCAAGAAATTGAATTTGGAATTTTATTACCACATAATAACGTATAATTATAATAATTATAATTATAACAGAATAAACAGTATAATTATATAACCATTAATGTAGAATAAAGGTGAACGTACATTAAACAAATATGTTGAAAGATAGTAGTTTATAACGATATAGGTACATAGGTACTTTTATTGTTTTATCAAATATTCGCACGCATGTAATAAATAATTTACATCATAAATTATAACGTTATTATTACAAAACTTTTTTTTTCAAAGTTAATTTTTCAAAGTTAGTTTTTACTAATATCATTTTTACATTTTATAATATAATTCTTTTTGAGATTGAATTTCTCATTCTATTCTTGAAATCGAAATATTTCTTTATGGTTTATCCTTTTCTATCTTCATTACGTCTTAAGTATGTATATGTACGACCGATATATGCGATGCATGTGAAATATACAATATTCGATATATCGAGGGAATGAGAATATTTGAGTTTTTAATTTATCCTTGATTAACCTACGACCCAAAAATAAAGACGTTATAAAGACGTTTTCAGCAATATTGCCAATATTTTAATCGAGGATCGAACTAACGACTTTACTTTATTTTTACAGCGAGGACTTAACGTGGAGAGACATTCAGCATCTGATAGCTTGGTCATCGGAATACAGTCCTCTCCGGTGAGCGTCTCCCGAATAGCAATTCAGGCCACGTGTATCTGCAATTGTGCCAGTTTAAATTCTTATTCTCTCATACTGCGGCAGAATAGGTCGCGGCGTCGTTTGCAATATAAAACTGTAATCCAGGTGAAATCATTTTTCTCGATTTCGATCCGTTAAAAATTCTCAGTGCAATCAACCGTGATTGACAAGTAAGGCGGAGAGTCCACGAAGCAAAATGATGTTGAGTGATAATTGAGCTTCTCAGAAGCCAAACTGATCAATCCTACTTTTTATAATTAAAGTTCTTTTCCAATATTTAATTTTACATATGACAGAGCACATAATTAGATTATGGCTTCATCAATTTTCTCTCTTTTTTATTTTATTGAGTCGATCAGTTTTGCTTCTGAGGAACTTTTAATTACGATTGCCTTTAAACACTTTTTTCCGATCTTTTCAAGCACGTTTACAGAAATAACTTAATCCGTTTGAAAAATCCGAAATAACTTTTTGACATTTTATGGTATCGGATATATTTGTTACATTTTTCACGATATCAAACACATAAATCAACTGTGCTGTACGTGAAAATTATTTCAAACAATGATGTGTAACTTTTATCGAATAGTTGTCAAAGAAACGAGGTCGTGCATACGATGGCGGAAGAAAAATTACTGCTCGATCATGCCCATACATACGCAGATGGTCATGCATATTTCTAACCGTTATTGCTTGTTCACGTAATTTATATTCCGTGCTAATTGCGTTCTATTGTCGTCTCGTAAAAGCGATCATGATAGCTTTCGCATAAACGTATTCCATTTACGTTGATGACAATTAGTCGTAATCGTCTTTTATTAGCATACATGTGATATTTGACAATTGATGCTTCGAAATATTTTACTTTTTGTTCAAGGAACAATATCAAGCTTTGTAATAATATTCTTTATAAATCTATCATTGTTGATTTGAAGAATTTCAATAATAATGTGAATATCATTTTTCTTCCATTATTATAGAAATTTAAACGAGAAAAAAGATGTCTGAGAGAGAACAATTTTTCTACTTTACATCCGCTTATGGCGCAACTTCTTTCCCAGAATGAGAGCTTTAATATTTGCATAAATTTTCCAGCGAAAATCCGGGCTGGTTTAAAAACGCGGCTGGATTTTGGTTCAACTCGCGCTTCGGATTCGGACTTATGAACGCGTACGCGCTGGTGACGACGAGTTATAACTGGACGACAGTGCCGGAGAAAACTATTTGCAAAGTGGATAACGCGTACATGTGAGTAAATTAGTTCAGCGGATTTAGTGCGGTGGCTTAATTGCGCGATACGCAAACGTCGTACTAAAACGAGCAGCACAGGTCGTACGAATAAAATTGATTAAATGCTTCTGCTCTTGCTTGCAGAAGCAAATATATTTGCGCGGCATTTCGTGCAATATATATTAAAATTATTAGAGCGGTAAAGCGTTCAATTTACAGATCTTTTTCTTTTTTTCTATTTTATTTTGGTTGCTCAAAACCACCTAATTTCAATATTAGATGTTTCTATATTATTTATATATATATATATTTGTTTTTCAATATTAGATTTTTCTAATTTAAATAAGATTAATTCAGATTGATAGTGAGATATTAATGCGGATCAGACATATTTACGCCGGATTATTAGATTTTATTTCACGTAATCTATAAGTACTAAAAGAATAACGATTTTTCGCACCGTTCTATAATCCCCGAATGTCGCATCAATCGAGGGAGGTGACCTCCTTTTTCAGGGAGGCATTTGCGGATGCTCGAAGAAGCGCGAGATAAGAAGCGCATCGTTAAGTTCAACAAGAATTTAACGACGCGATCAACAAGATCGTAAAGGTCCTCATTTGTTACGTTACGACAGTGGGCAGAGAAAATGGAGCGTCTTTTGTGAAAGATTTTGCTCAAAATACGTTTCTGAAAGGGCAATTTGTTTAACAGCCGAAACTCTCCGTACTTAGATCGCTAAATGCAAATGTGCATGATCATTTTAAATAGCTATGACCGTACGCGTAACCGAGAACATATGCTAATCTCGTTACAAAACGTCCCGTCCTCTCAACCCATGTAATTCAAATACACACGTATCTGCATACTTTGAGGATTTACCTTGTTTCATGTCTGCGTTGTTACCTACTTCACGCCGAGCCATTTGCGATTACTCTCATAATCTCACTGTGAGTGATGATATATTATAGTCACGAAGGCAGCTTCATTAATTCTGCAGGCTTTTTACGTGCTGTATTATCATCATATCTTATCTATAATTTCAAAATTATTCCCCCTTACGATTACATAATCTCAAACGTTAGAATATAAATGTTTCAAATGCCGAAGATACGATTTATCATATTTAGGTTTGTGTATGTGTGTATGTATACATTGAAAAAAATTTATTATTTGTAAGAAAATAGATTTCTTTGAATTTTAGTTTCCTTAATTCAAAAAAGTATTAGATTTGAGAAAATATTTTAAACTCAGAAAAATGTTTTCTTAAATCTACTCAATACTTCTTTGAATTAAGGAAATTAAATTCAAAGAGATCTATTTTCTTGCAAATAATAAATTTTGTTTTAGTGTATATATTTATATACTTTGCGTTTTTTAAATAGGAAACTGTTTGAATAAAGAATTTCTGCACATTTCAATTGTACATGAAGGCCCCTAGATCCTTCGTACGACCTGTCAATATTTCAAGAATATTCAACGGCTTCGGCGTTTTGCGAAATGCTTGTTTCCAAAACTTCACTTGCCTACGCATAAATATCTAATGTTTTTCGTTGCAGCGCCGATACGAGACTGATTTATGGAAATTCAAAGAAACTGCAATTCAATGCCGGTAACGTTTGTCGGACATCGGGGAACGAAATAATTTCTTTGGAGCACGTGGAAGTCGAGACGAATCTCAAGTACTCTCGTCGCGGCGCGCTGCAAATGTATCTGACTGCGCCTTCAGGTATTACATTTTTGACTTCAACCATTTATCATATCTTCAAAAGTTCCCTCTACGTGTCCCGGCTGATAAATAAAGTTCGTGTACATGCTCAACGAGATCGGAAAACAGCACTTTTTTTCTCATTTCTAAACTTCTGACTGTAGAAAAAGAGATAAAAAAGTAAGTGGTGCTTTTAATAAAACTTATGCAACAAATGGAGCGCATTAGTCTCTTGAGTCAGTTTACTTGGCTATGCTTCATTTTAAATGCACCTCTGGAAACGTCAATCTTCATTTATATCCGACTTACAGAGGTGAAAAGAACGGAAAGTCGAGGGAATGAGAATAGCAACCATGAGAATGGTCACGGAATAGGCCATTTTACGTTCGTAGATAGAAAAGAGAGACTTCTAAAAATACCATGCAAGGAAAATCCTCTATAATTATATCGGGGCTAAAGTCTCCGAGAATATTCTTCGAGGCTAAATGTAAATACATTTAACTATACATTCATAGAAACTCGCTTGTCAACTGAATTTATCAAGTTCTATTCATTGTTCCATTGGAGTTTATGAAAGAGGGAAAAACTAACAAATCCGAATGGAAGTAATACGAAATTTCTTAATACGCACCTCTATTGCGTCGTATATTTACCGCAAAATCAAATCTGCGTCTTTTGCAAATTTATTATTTAAAATACTTTTATTTGTCTAGAAACTAAAACTTTAGTTACTTTAAAATACTTTAAAATACTTTTATTTGGTTAGCAGCTTAGAACTTTAAACGATATTTTAAATTACATTAAATAATTTTTTAGTAATTCACACAAAAAGTAAAGCATCAAGATGATTGAAAGAAAAAGCACTAAAAATAAAATATATATTTTATTATTAAAAAATAAGTTTTTAAAAGAATTTCTCTAAGTTTATGGGATGAATAGATATTACGCAATTTTAAGATTATCAATCAAGAGTATTGCATAATTTGATAAAACACAGCTCTGTTAAGGAAAGGTGACAAATAGCGAACGGATCATTTCAACGGAATTAATACCACCATTAATATTGCAAGTCACGTTTCTGTGTCGCATAGTAAATGCAGTTAACAGCACAAATACGTTCTTACTTCAATTTATAGCTGAAAATTCAATTTGATGCTACTTCGATGCGGCCTGTTTATTCGAAGAGGGACAGAATTGGATGGAAATAGGATTTATTCGTTCAATAAATATTGCGCCGCGTTTAGTAACGTACATTACTATATAAACTTGATAAATGTATAATAAATGTCAGAAAAGACCTCTATAACTTCGTGTCAAATAGAACGGTGCTTCAGACGTGGACATGAACGAATAGATATATAGGCAATCATCACGTTGGCCAATGCGTTATTTAATTCCATACACGTTTACCGATTGACATTGTTATCGACAGACGATGTCACTCGCAGCGGAATACCGAAAAAAATCCGAAATGTATTGAAATGCAAGAAAAGAATGACGAGTAAAAACATCCAGACGCATCTAATGCAACAATGTCGTAGTTTTCGGATGTAATACTTTTTTATTTTTATATTCACAGATTTTACTGGCAATATTTTAGCAAGAGCACTCTCCATTTCAAACAAAATCAATATCATATTGCATTTTTCATGAATACAATAAGGGGAAGGAAGTCGTTTTTAAACGTAAGGCAACTTTTAATAGCAATTTTTTCCCTTCAATTTCAAGGAAAAAGTTTTTCAGACGATTAATTTACATTCTTTATTAAAACCTTTTAATTTTTTGTTCAATCTTCCTAAAAAGCATTTAATATTACTTATAACAAATATCTGTAAATAAAACAGTCTAATTTTTATTATATTTCATATTTTTATCATTATTTTTAATATCAGTAAATTAAAAAATATAAAATTTTATTTTGGACTTATTTCTTATTTCCTATGAGACAAAAAAAATTTTTATTAAAAATACTTGGATAATAATATTTATATTTTATTTGTTGTAAAAAATAGTATAATTTTTTACGTATTAAATAAATCAAGAGATGTTTGCAATTAAAATAATTTAAGATTTCGTGAAAGTTTAATTTAAAAGAGATAGAGAGAGATAGAGAGAGAGAGAGAGAGAGAGAGAGAGAGAGAAAGAGAAAAAAGATATTTCCTTTTACTTTACAAAATCTGTGTAATTAGGTCATATAATATTATTCAAATTACAAGCTTTACTATACACATGCGAGAAAAAATCAATAACGTTCATATGCAACTGTAATTAACATCCATGAAACCGATCGTATTTAATTATTTTAAACTAGGATGTATGCGCGTGCTTGTAATAAATCAAATTTAACTTGACGTTTTTAGCAAGACGTTATAGCAAGAAAAACCATAAGAAAATTTTTATCACAACATTCTTAAAATTGCGTCTGTGAATTGATGTATACATAAATTTCACTTACCTATGCAAATCACGTATACTTCGTTTCTTAGGGACCTTAGTCCGGATTCTAAGTCCAAGGAAGCTGGATAATTCTGACGCTGGTTTTACGAAGTGGAAATTCATGTCGGTCGCGACGTGGGGCGAAGATCCTCGAGGAACGTGGACTTTGGATATACTTGATGAAGTAAGACTTTGAAAGTATCTTATCGCGGATTCTGCGGTTATCGATATATCAACATGTTGTGAGAGATCTTCAAGTATATGTAACCTCCTTATTATTTCTAAGAAAATGTTACGCAATCGTATATTGTACTAACACATAAACAATGAAAACAGAACATAAATTTGATCATAACACGAAATATAGCTATTCATATTTGTGAAATACAAATTTCCATAAGGAAACTTCATGTTACCTTAAAAGCATTTTATATTAAAAATATAAATACATTACTCGGTACGATGTATTGCTCAAAACATAGTAATAGTAAATACACACATCAATTCAGGGAAGAATATCTTGATTAGGCACATAAGGTAAGAGGGTTCACTCCCTTTTCCATCAACCGCCTTAAATTATAGCCCGTGTATTTCAAAGGTCTATATACCACACAGGAATATGAATAAATTAACATATATCTACAGAATATATATAAATAAAAATGTTGGAAATTTTCAAGGCACTCTTTTTCAAACGATATATTGAGACCCACGCCACGGTTCCATCGGGCGATTACAAGGGTTACCAAAATGTTTAATGCGACTGATTGATCGAATATTGATCGGTTGAAATTTCCTCTCCGCATATCGGCATCTGTCATGCGAGTATATTTAATTGATCGTGTATATTTACGCGCTTTTAGATAGGCCCGGAGCGGAATAATGGTACAATTGGGGCATTTACATTAATTTTGCACGGTACCGTGCAAATTCCACTTTACCGCAGGAATGGACCGCGAATCTACAACGAAGACTACAATCGAATACGCAAAACGGTAAATAAATACCATATAATTTGATTGTTTATTATATATTTTACTAATATCGCCTTTTTCAGTACGACATGATGGAATCGAACTCAGTAAATTCCGAAGATGAATACGACCGAAATATATCATCGCCAGAAATTAATACCATCTTGTATAAGCAGTGGTTAAAAAAGCTATTGTTAAAAAAATTATGATAGTCAACTTTCTAGTTGTATCGTTGAATATTAAATTATTGAAACAATTAGAAACACTCGAATAATTATCACAATCCGCCAAAACCTTCACATTTATTAATACTCACGCAGGCTTACGTCACGCTTTTAAAATAGACTAATCGTAATAGTAATATTCTTCATTAATTACATCGAGCTTCCGTTCTAAGAATACAACACAATATAATAATGGCAAATTTATGAGATTTATCAACATGCATTAACAAATGCTAGATAATGAATTGTGATATCTTTGTAATGATGGTAACATTTATTAAATATTTCTTGCGTATATGCCAGCGTGGGTAGTTCTTTGTAACATGTCCTGTGTGCGTGTGCGTGTGCGTGTGCGTGTGCGTGTGCGTGTGCGTGTGCGTGCGTGCGTGTGCGTGTGCGTGCGTGCGTGCGTGCGTGCGTGCATGCGTGCGTGTGTGTGTGTGTATGTGTGTGTGTGTGTGTAGGTATAATTCGAGATACGTAATTTACCTTTAATTCGTTATAGAACGTCGAGCGTATCTCTCCTATCCTTTTGTGTGCGGCTGTCTGGACCATTTAACAACTGACATTGGCAGTAATAAACATTGCTGAAATTTGAGACTGTACGGAACTAGATAACAGTCCTTGCCTCTGTGCATACAAGGTATAGTGTAAATCATGAGTTACAGGCGGACGTAACTGAACCGAGGTGGACTTGCAAATGACGAGCATTAACTCCTTTGCAATTGCATGCGGCTAACAATAAGATTCAGGAACGAGCTTCGAACAATAGCATAATTATGCGTACTTATTTCATTGCGTCAATTAAGATTTCATTAGCGTATTATTTTTAACTTTGATACATAAATGCTTCATATACTTTCAATCCTCTTTCTCGAAAAACAAGATATTTCTGGAAAAACAGGTTTTGCACGACATAGTTAAAAGTTTTAATATTATCGACATAAATAAACATACTTATTGCAAAATTTCTCTCAATTCAATTTTTCCGGGAAATTTCCTTTCCGCGAATATTTGCTTTAGATATGCAGGCTCTTTTATGCACCATTCTAGAAATCTACATATATTCGGTTTTGCAATCGTGAAATGTCATATAGATTCAAAGATACCTACATGCGAGCGTTTCCTTTTGCACGTACCACCGATTACCATAGAAGAAGAAAAAGAAAAACATTTGAGTTTACAATCTGAATCATCTTTACAACAGGTAACATTTGCAATCTACTTTGAACATTTAAATTCAGTAGTACAAAGCATATGCAAAATTAAATAGTATTTTATTCTTTATTATATCTTGCAAAAATAATATTTTACATAAACAATAAAAAACATCAAGTTTTTATTTTGTAATAAAGTAAAAAATATTGCAATGAAGTATTGATAATATAATAAAATATTACCAGTGTAAATAAAAAATTTCATGGTTAAAATATTTTATATATAATTGAAAATAAAGATTAATTATTAAAATATAAAAATGTTAAACAACATATATTTATAACATATCTACATATTTATTATACTACAATTACACAAAAGTTTTACATGTTTGACAAATTAAATTATTTTCATTTTTTCTATTTCATAAACTACAAGTATGCAATTTTTTATTTTATTTCAATTCAATTCAATTCTATTTCAATTCCATTTGAGAAATCGAATATTATTTCAAAATAACGCTTGATTAATTTAAAAGTAACAAAATATAAATTCAATATTCCATACTGTATTAAATTAGGTATTCTTTAAGTGAATAATCTACATAATTCGCAAAAATATTCTGATCTATGTAGGAACGGCTTTTACAAAACTGATATACCGTTAATACTACCGCTGTTGTATATCTGCACGTTCCGACTATAAATCATTTGCTGTACGAACCTGCAAGAATTGAACATACACAAGCTCCCGAGTATATTTTACAATGATATATAACTTCACAAACACGAGCAAAATATTGCAATTTATCGTAACTAAGAAGCATCAAAATCTTTTGCTCTTTCCGATTCGATATAACTTTCGAATCAATTATATTATTTATTTCTTTTAAACATTAAACCTGAAGCAACATTTGAAACGGATGGATTTAGTCTGGTACGTAGTTTACCGCTGCTCATTTAGGAAATTAGTTTTGCGACAAATTTAACGCCGAGAAGTTGGCCTAAAGTAATTTCGCGAGAAAGATGATCCTGCGCGTCGCTCTAATGTCATGTACTGAAATTTTACACAGTAATATTCCAGCATAATTCATCAAAGAGAACCGCAATGGCAAAATCAAATAGCTTCATTATTGGTGAAATCAAATAATATCATAATTTCAATTTATTAATACGCTTACATACATGAATGAAGTGGCAAATAATAATCCTCACAAAGTATATGATCAATATAATAAATAACGTGAGCAGTTAGTTAATTTCATATTGTTTGTAAATTCCTATTTCTTCTTAATTACTCTGATTGACGTGTCAAATGCGAATTGGATTTCTTGAGTCGTTTCCTGTAGATTTTTTGGCCGCTAAATTCGAATTTATCAGTAAAATTTTTCTATCACATCTGGTTTTTAGAAAAACTGAAGTCAAATATGTAAAAAAAAAGACGTGTTTTTGGCCATTTTTGACAAAATATAGGAGATAAACTTGATGTGTTAGAAAATTCGAAAAAATCTTAATATAAAAGTTAGACAATATATTTTAGATTAAGCAAACTCATAATTGATCCGTAATCCCCTATCGCGAGCTACAACGTTTCTTTGTGATGGGTTGCGCGCGCGCTGGCGCCCCACCAGTGTTGGCCACCACAAAGAAACGTTGAAGCTCGCGATAAATAATTGCGGATTAATTATGGGTTTACTTAGCCTAAAGTATATTATCTAACTTTCATTTTATGATTCTATCGAATTTTTTAACACATCGAGTTCATCACCTATATTTTGTCAAAAATGGCTTAAAAGATATTTTTTTTACATATCTGATCTTAATTTTTCCAAAAACTAGATATGCTAGAAAAATTTTACTGACAGATTCGAATTCAGCAGCCAAAAATCTACAAGAAATAATACAAGAAACCCAATCAGCATTTGATACGCTGACCAGTGTTATCATTGTTTTTTATATATAACCGTCAAAATAATACTAGATATAAATTACTAAAATCATTTTATAAATTAAATTTCGAATTTGGTAATAGAAGGTTCTTCCTTTCTTCGTATAATTGTAATTTAAAAATTACCTACTGAAATAGCTTTCAAGGAATTTTTAGGAATTATATATGTATAAAATAATGAAATTTGTCTATAATATAATTTAATATTAAATTTGACATTCTGCGTAGCTTTTAAGAACATTAATTATTTCCCATAAACTAATGAACTAACTAGAAAACTACTTACACAGCTGGATCGTGAATTGCGAGTGAATTGGAAAGATAAGATCTGAATTAAATTGGAGAGACAAGATCTGAATTATATGATCTAAGGCTGAGATAACCCCGAAGTAAAACAAAATTAAATTTTTGAGTATCCAGAGAATTTGCTACACGCGGTGTAGCAAATTACGACATATTCTCGGAGAGTTCTACTATTTTAAATTCCCTTAAACCTCCAATAACGAAATTAATTAAAGCTATTTGCTTTAATTTATCTCTCCAAATATTCCACATCTCATTTTTGCTAATAACAAAACATGTTTGCTCTATATATTAGAACTAATTTTTCTGCTTTATATTTCCTTGTATACACGTCCGCGCATATAAAACTTGTATGTAGTTTATCTACCAGGGAATTGCAAGTTTGATGTACTTTTTATTACAGGTAGAGCGCCTCCATTTTTAAAACTTTAGATTCATGAGACCAGATACGGTAAAAAATAGCACTATATGTATCAACGCATATGTATTGCTTCCTGGAAGTTTACCCGTTGAAATAACGCGTTTGAATCACTTTATGGAAAGATTCCGATACACGAAAGGAATCGTATTACTTTCATGCATCGGAATCTTTCTATAAATAACAACTTTCATTTTACTATCCGGCATTAAAAATGCTATCCTGAGACACTTATTCTTAGATAATTTAATAATTAAACTATTATAACTAAAATTACTTTATCAATTGCGTAAGATCTTTCTTGCGAGATAATGTTTAACTTACATGCCCTCAGGCGCGATGAGTTTTATCAAAGACCAGAAAAAAAAACGCTCGAAATAATATACGCGATTATTCTGCAAACATGCAACGATCGATTGCTACGCAATATTATTTATTTGTACCACGTTATTGCTAAAGTTTTGATTAGTGACAGTCAATATATCGCGATACGATCAAAGCCGTATATAAAAACCGCGTGTAGAAATTTTCGATGCGACGCAAATTATGATGTAATTACATTTCGTATCGATTGGGCACGAATAAAAATTACTGACGCCTACTCATATCGTTCCAAAAAAAGGTCTCCTTGACCTTTCTCAACGAACGAATTTCAGTGGACGACTTTCGGTGTATTTTTTAAAATCGGAGGGCTATACGTTTTTACCAGAGGACGCGCGATATTAGTGACAGCTTAATAGTGCTGAAATAGCGCGAATATAAAGATTTAGGCGGCAAAAGTACAAATCGATATACATTAGAGTTATTTTAGCTTTCTTTTTTCATATAAAAATTCGAAACTTTTTTTTATCGAAAATCAACATTTTTATATTTTATCTTTTCGTATTTCATGTTTACAATTTTAAATTCTATAAAGAATCAAACATTACATTTCTTTAAGATTGTGCTTCATTTATTAACAATCAATATACAGTACAACCTCTGATGTACAATAGAAGAATACTTATATATATAAGATGAAAAGTAAAAAGAAAAGTGTAAATAACATATATAAATATAATTATTTTAATTAAAATTATTTTGATATATACTTTGACAAAACTTTTTAATTCAATAAAATAATTCTTTGCCAGTGATAGAATAATAAACCATAAAATTTTGTCGGCCTAACTGGCAATTAATGTACTACAACGACGTTTCGACCCGTGCTTTGGGTCCTTATCAAGTTACGTTATAAGCAATGCTGGAACAACACAATTTGTTCGTATTACACAACAATAAATATACATTGGTAGAAGTAACAATGCAAAACTTACATAAATTGCGCGTCAAGTTTTAAATCTAACTGTCATCGTTACAATATGTGGTCCGAAATACAGCGAACATCAGGGACATGACCGTGCCATGCAGAGCCCGGAGAGCGACTAGCACATACACAATAAACAAACGCAAACTACCATGAATTGTATAGATAACAAATCTAAAACTTTTTAATTATAATGAACGTATTCTGATCACAAAATATTTAGCAGCAAAATTTATATTTGTCTATTGATTTAATAATTTAGTGTGTCTACTAAAAATCTTTAAAATGTATGTCTAAATAGCATTATACCTTTCACGATTATAATTTATAATCAATATAATTTAGTTTCTAAAAAATTATTGCACGGATTTATCATAAAAAGTAGCTAGTCTTGTAACAAAGCGCACAAAACAGAAAATGTTAAAATATAATGTTAATAAATAATTAAAAAAAATAGATTTAAAGAGAAATTAATATTTCTATTAGAAAATGGTATATGTAATTGTAATATATTGTCAGTATATCATTTAAGTTGCAAAAAATGCTAAATCAAAACAATTGTACTTTTGTTCGCTGATGCTTTTATCATGGTCGAACAATGAAGAATAGAAAAGAATCGCTACGATTTCAAGGCAATTTCAAGCTGTTTCCAAACGGACATGTACGAATACACGCCAACTATAATAGTGAGCGACTATAATAGTGGTTCAACCCTCCACATGGCTGCGCTACTGTCGACCTAATAACGGGTGATGCCTCGCAGGCGAAAGGGGGATGATTCGGCCAGTACTCAGTAGCATGCCGCCTCTCGTAGCGTGAATATCGTCGGGCGAGCTCTCGTCGCGGAGGAATCGTGGCGGAAGAACGCGGCACACATTGCTCATCTGACTTTTTAACCCCGTTGTACCGTGATCGAAGATCGAGAGAAGAGTGGTGTTTTATCGCTGGGACATTTCAGGGAAACGAAACGACGCGTAAGTGCACATTTAACAGAAAACATCTCTGCAAATTTGAAATTAAAAATATATATTCAAGGGACGCGTGGCGGAAATGGCTAAACTTCACTTTAATTAACGCATACACGAGTGTGTGAAGGAAAATTAACGCCGGTGCGTGTATAAATATGTGATGGATGTTGCGCAGTAAAATCATTAAGACTAATGAAGCGGTCTCGTTACTTGTGATAAACTCTGAATAATAAAAGCTAAATGAAACCGAGTCCCGTCATTAATGTTTTATTCTTATTTTAGGCACGAATATAATTTTACGTCAAGTACTACGTTAATTGCAGGCACCAAGATGTGTTAGAATACACTTTACATGATTTTTTTTTGTAGAATACATTTTACGTGTATTCTAGAAAAAAAGCTGTGACGGAACAATTTATGTGTTTGTACGGATTACTTTTGCAAGTATAAACGTGTGACCCAATTGAATTCTAATGAAGGAAAAAGGTCGTGAAGATTGCTGACACGACCTGCGTCGTATGACCCTGTACCTACACACTCGGCATCCATTTCTCATGTGCAGTCTCGCAGGGGAGGCATTCGCGTTCAAGGCGATCTAATTAATCATTAGAAACGCATATCCTTGACAGCTCTGCTCATGGCAATTTAACAGATTCTTTAGCAAATTACGCTTCGCGCGACTCCACGAACTAGTTAGAACCCATTTTCCGCGCTTCAAACTCCGATTTACTCTGCCCGATTCATTGTTCTACGTTCTACGCATCATTAGAGATTTCGAAAAAAAGATATTATAAGAAATGAGAGATTTACTTGTTCGCTTACACAATTTCTTTTTATACATGAGTGAAATATTCCTGTAAATGATATTTTAAATTATTTGATTTTTTTTTTAATTCGTTTCTTTAGCAAAAACTTTGCTATATACATTAAAAATACTTTTTGAGAACTAAACCAATCAATTTTATTTTAGCAAAATCGTGATTTAAAACTATCAAATTGTTTGATGTGACGAATCAGAAAATTATGAAAAAATTAAATTTTCTTGAAAAAAAATTTGGAATCAATCAAAAAATACTGCAAATTTTTGTGCTTTATTGTAATATTTTTTTTATTATTCGATTCTATCGCATTCTCTCTCTCTCTCTTTCTACATAACCTCATTACGTTACAAAATACTGCTTTTCCATTGCTGTATAACAGAATGATGAGAGAGGAGTAACGAACTTTAAAATTAAATCCCTTAAGAGATTTATAAAAGCCACTCGTTAGCCTTGGAAGTAGTAGCTATTGTTATAACGCTAACGAAAGCATATTCAGAAAGTTGGGACATCAAAGTTTTTACAAAAGCATAAACTATAATTTCAGAGGATTAATCGTAGTATGGTACTATTGGGATTGAAAATGTGTACTCTGTCACAAAAGAAAGATTTAAAAAAAACATACGCGCGTTCTGTTTTTTTTTAATATAAAATCGGGATTGCCCCATAAATCTTACAAATGTAAAGGAAAAAAAAACGAAAAAAATATGATATTCATATTTTACCGTGGCTCATCAATTTTAATAAATTTTTACTTTTTAAATTGAATAATCAAAGTAATATGAGATGATAAATACATACAGTATTTTCAACGTCTCCATTCCTACTCCCCATATAATAACTCGCCATCTGAAACGGTATTGTGCATGTTTTGTATATTAACATAGCCGTTTTATGAATCTATCGATTAATCACAATAATAACGTTGTCTTTTGCGAGGAAAACTATTTTTAATAAAAAGATTAAAAGTTGAATATTTCCTTTATATAATAACCATCGGGTCGAAGCGTAATAACAAAAGAGAACGTTGCAAACGAAGCCAATAAATTAATTATGTATATTATCAAACCATCAGTACCTACCACATTTAATATTTCGTAAAAGTTAAATTTATAAGAGAATACATAAAATTAAAACAGAAATAGTAACAACAAGAAAAAACTTCACGAAAAAAAGAATGTAATACGACCCGTTTCCAAATACGAAAAAGTCTCGCGTTCAAGCCGGTTCCACGATTTTCCAGGTCAACTCTGGCTCTGGTGTGACAAGAGCTGGAACCAGCGGTAGAGAACGAAACTTACCTGGCGAGCCAGCCAGGTGATATTTTTCGCGAAATTCAGAGTTGGATGCATGCGCGTGACGCTAACAAGCGAGGATAATACCCGGCAGCTAACGCTAAAATAATTTAAGCGTTGCGCGCGAACGTATATATCACATTCGTGCATCCCGCTCGCATACGTGTACACGCGATAGTCGCAATACGGATGATTTGCCACGAGACTGATCGACGTTCGTGTTTCGCTCAACGCCTGTCATTTTACATCGATATAATCGACGGGGATATGCGAAAAGACGCGACGGGGGAATTGAAACTGACAGCGACGTAAACAAGAAGCAAATTAACAACTGCATTACGCACCCTACTGCACCCTCGTTAACAAGTCAACGTGAACTGAAATGTTCGAGACAATTAAAGAACCATCACCGCGAATCATCTTGCCGTATCGTTTTTTTATGTGTACCTGGATTTTGAAAAGGTTCTCTTATACTCTAAAAAAAAAGACGGTTAAGCAACCCACGATTAGTAATCAAATTATTTGGATTCGTAACCCTAATAAACTCTGCGTAACTAAAAATCGTAATTAGCTATTCTATTTATTTCAAAGATTTTTAAGTTATATTAGTATATTTTCAAGTTGTACTAGTCAATTCTCTCAATTAGTTCTGTCGATATTCAGTTACGCAAAGATAATTTTCACTTAAGGGGCACTAACCAAAATGTTAAGTTGCTTAACTGTGGGACAAACCGGTCAAAATTTGTACCCGAGTAATAAGGATGAAACCTATATTGTCTATACGTCTATATATATTATACAAAGGCACATACAAAGAATAAATTTTAATATTATCCTATGGTAGAGAGATTGTTTGATATTTCTGCAAGCTTCGAACGAGAGGAACTCCCTGTTGCGCCTAAATATTAAAACGCTCAGGGATGCTTCCCTTCTCTCTATCCAAATTTGTTCCTCTGTCAACATTTTCAGTGCAAAAAAAATATTACAAATTTTACCAATTACTGATATTCGGTTCAATCTGTGGAATATTGTTTAAAGAAATGATCTTGCATATATATTGTTTACCAAACTTTATTGTGTGTTCAGTGAAACTGCATGCATTATTCAGTCGTTTACCTTGGCATATTGGCTGCGTTCAACAGAGAATTGCGCAATCGCTAAATAGCAATCGCAAGCGCGCGTTTGATACTTACCTTCAGGTCCAGCAAATTAGGGTCAAATACCGCAAACCAATACTCAGTAATTTTCCGCGCTCATTAATAGCTAATTATTTCTCACAGTAAATGGACACTTACCGTTCTCTTCATGCTACGCCCAAGTAAATATAATATCGGGTGTCCTAAATTGGATTAAATGTATACATTAAATAAATAAGTACCAAAAGACGGTATTTCAAATTCAAGTTTTCAAACGCTACACTGTAGAGTACCTACTTTTTTAACTTTGCAGACTGAGGATTAATTAGTAAAATTATTTTTACGTAACTGTTTAGTAGATAAAAAAAACCTCAAAGAGGTATCTAACAAATTTTTAATAATCGAATAACTGTTTAAGTAACTTTTACTAAATTTTTTAAAGTGTTTAAATTTAATGCTGGCGATCTCTCTCGAGTATCATTAGAGAAACATGTTACATCATGTACAGTATAGGGGAAGAATATAGCGTACCCTAGTTCCCGACTTTCTTTGGTAAAGCCTTTTAGAAGATAGTTGAGATACAACTATGGGATCACGTAGGATCTAAAACATTCTGAACCCAATTTTAAATTTTATCTCTATTACTACACTTCTATAACTTAATCATTTCTTTAACAAAGTTAATAACTGTCTTTCAGCTAATAAACGATTAAAGTTCAATCGAAGGGAAGTGTAATTCGCTCGCGAATTCCGTCTAACTTCCTGTATACTTTATGAAAGATAGTAACTGGTGGCTGCACGCTGGAAATTCTAGATGCTCGATATATGTTTGTGCCGATACTCAGGCGCTTGGTAGGTCCGTAGAAAGTTTCGTTCGACAGAAAGCTTGAGTTATCGAGAAAGCGTGAATAAGTTCCTAAACCCCGCTTGGTAAACTATGCTGCCGGTATAAGACAAACGACTTAAGCGTCAGGTAATTACACTTGCGGAAACTTGAAAGTGATTATTTAGCCAGATCGTCTTTTACGCGAAGCGACGGCGAGGTGACCAAGTGACTTGAGAATTTATTTGCAACCAATCTAACCAGTTTCCGTTTTGGAGAACTCTTTCGATTTCCCTTCTTATTAAAACCTTTAAATCTACGTGTACGTAAAGTTTTTGTTTTTCCATCTTCGTTTCTTTGTATCGCAATCTCGCGTGATGCTCGCCGATACGATCGCGGTTAGCATTCACTGCGCATTCACTGCGATTACTGTAGTATTTCAAATTCATATCCCACGCAACATATTTTTTAATCCTTAATATTATTTGCGCTACGTTTGATACACTGGAAAAGAAAGTATTAAAACTATAAATCAAAATGATATTAAAGATATCGATAATTTCCCGTATAGATCCTCAATTATTTATTGAGTAAACATTAATTCTTAAAACAAAATATTTCTACTTAACTAAAATTTTGTTCAAGATAAATGGAGAATGATTTTATTAACTAATCTACAAATTCCTTACATAAATTAATAAATATTTATTGTATAAACTGTAGCATATGATTTATCGTTGAGTTTCGGTTCAGTTCGTGAGTGAAATCGTGCATTTATGCATAGGTGCTTATATGCGCGTGTAATTATTTACTAGTATTATTACCTTATTTATCCACAAAATTAATGAAGACACCTTGAGTTCGTGACACAAGAAATACGAGTTAATTACGTTATCATGGGCCGCCTGATTGTATCGCGGTCTTATATTTAGCG